GGTTTTTTCTTTGTTTTTTTCAAAAAGACTATATGTAATTTAAAAGTAGGACACCCCCCATAGAATATGAATATGAAAATAGAACTATAGAAAGTGCTTATTACACCTCTAGGCTCTAACATGATTATGAACAAAGCAGCCTGAGACGAAAAAAGAAAGAAAGAAACAAAGTGTGTGCTTATATTTTACCCTATAAGGAGGAAAACATAGGAAGAAATTTTTTCTTGCTAAGACTGGTTAATAATATGCATTAATAAAACCAAGGTATTAATATTTGTTTAATGTTAGACTTTATTTTTAAAATAATTTTTTTATCAATCTTTATAAGTAATAATATATAAGTATATTCTTATGAAAATTGAAACAGGGATAAATCTAGAATTCTGTGCCACTGTTTTGGCTCCGTCTCCCTCCAAGGTGATGCACTGTCTCCTGACTCTGTCTCGGTCGTGTTTTACACGTGAGCGTGTACAGACACCTCTGTCTGTCCCTGTGAGGATATGTGTGTGTGGAGACTGTTCTTTATGCCTGAGTGGTGTTCTACCATATACATTCTGTAATTTGTGCATCTTAACTTCACGTTTTGTTTTCAAGGCATTTTTCTGTCTATATGTAGAGTTCTATTTCATTATAACTTATATTAATATTTGTTTTCAGTTATGAGAATAGTTTATATACACTTACTAGAACAAATAAAATAGGCCAGGCACAGTATCTTGTAAACCTGCAGTCCCAGCACTTTGGGAGGCTCAGGTGGGAGGATTGCTTGAGGCCAGGAGTTCAAGACCAGTCTGGGCAACATAGCAACACCCCATCTCTAAAAAAGTTTTGTTTTTGTTTTGTTTTGTTTTTTGTAGAGACAGAGTCTCACTTTATCGCCCTTGGTAGAGTGCTGTGGCGTCACAGCTCACAGCAACCTCCAACTCCTGGGCTTAGGCAATTCTCCTGCCTCAGCCTCCCAAGTAGTTGGGACTACAGGCTCCCACCACAACACCTGGCTAATTTTTTGTTGCAGTTTGGCTGGGGCCAGGTTTAAACCCGCCACCCTTATTAAATGGGGCCGGCAGCCTACTCACTAAGCCATAGGCGCCACCCTCTAAAAAAGTATTTTTAAGTGGCTAGGCACGGTGGCATACACCTGAAGTCCCAGCTACTTGGAAGGTCGAGGCAGGGGGATTATTTGAGTCCAAGAATTAGAGTTTATAGAGAGCTATGATTAGGCTGCTGTACTCCAACCTTGGAGACAGACCTTGTCTCAATTTAAAAGAACAAGTAAAACATAATCTAATTTATTAACTTCACCCTCAGTTCTCCTCTTTCCCTATATTCGTAAAGACATTTGGCATCTTATACAGTGTTTCATGTTTTCTTAATAATTAAAAAACATCAGGCACTATAATTATTCCTCAGCTACATTATTTCAGTTAAACAATATAAGGTGAACATCCTTCTAGTTTATTCTTTTAATAAGAAGCTTTCCATATTTGGGGAAGTTTGTTACCAGTTTTTACCCATGCTGACAACCTTGGAGTAAGCCCCTTTCCCCCGCTTTCATATACCGTGCTGGCATTTTTATTTCTAACATGGTTAAAAGGTATGTTTGTGTTACATAAAATTGTTATGGCCAGATTACTTTTCAAAAGTAATGTGTGAGACCACACTTGTTTCTCAAAATCCCATGTTTACCAGTGTAATGGTAACTTACTTTGAATTGACATTTTTCTTACTACTAATAGGGGAAATTTTTTTCGTAAGATCACTGACCATTCGGATTTCTTCTTGGTAAATTGTCTGATTCATTTCTCTCTCTTTTTTTCTCTCTCTCTCATTTCTCTTGCTTTCTGTTAGGTGGATTTATTTTTCTGCATAATAAAAAGTCATAGTTAGAAATTATCATCTTTCCTATATGGCTTTTGAATTTACATCTTGCTTGAAAAGGTCCTCTTGTCTGAAAGAGTTTTATCATTTTTACTGCTATTTTTACTGGCATATTTTTTCCTTTTCATTTTCATCTGATTGTTACTGACACAAAAATCTGTTGATTTTTTAATGTAATTAAAATTCTCTTAATTCAGATAACTTTTAGTTGTCTTTAAGACTCATAAAACTTTTTCCCTTTCTCTCAAGTCCGTCTCATCAGAGTGAGACTACAGTAGTGTTGTTAGATTATTGTTGTACCATGACTGATCTTGATGTAAAATACCTTCAGTATTTATTAATAACAGGATGTTTGCTATTATTTGATGAAGATAATCTTTTGTAATTATATTACCTTTTTTTTTGCTTTATTTGTGGTTTTTATTAGGAATGACTGCAGAATTATCTCAAATGCCTGTTTGATATTAACCTTGTTTTCTGTACTATTTGGATATAGTAATGAATTATTTTGATAAATTCCTATTGTTGAACTAGCCTTGTACTCTTGAAATAATCCTGATAATAATCTTCTGATACACTGCTGTATCCCCTTAGCCACCATTTTATTTAGAAATTATTACCCTCTCATTCATCATGAAAAATATCTATTTTTTTCTCTTTGTATTGCCCTCACCTAGGTTTGAGGGTTAAGATTCTGGTAGCCTGAGATCGGATCGCTGATCACTAGAATATTGTTGGGAGACGGATACATGGGGTTTTATGATGTTATTCTCTGCATATGTGTATATTTGGAAATAACAAATTTTAAAAATTGAATTAGAAAGCTTTTTATATTTTCCTTTGGTCTAGGAAATTAAACAAGTTATTTTTTTGACATTGGGAGGACACAGCCTTAAAACCATGTACTTAATTTATCTTTTTATTCAGGGAATACTTATCAGCTTTTTAAGAAAATAAGTCTTGAAGTCAAGCCGCTAAGGTGCCAGCCTCATACACCAGAGCTGGCAGGTTCAAATCCAGCCTAGCCCTGCCAAATAGCAATGACAACTACAACTAAAAAATAGCCAGGTATTGTGGTGTGTGCCTGTAGTCCCAGGTACTTGGGAGGGCGAGGCAAGAGAATTGCCTAAGCCCAGGAGTTGGAGGTTGCTGTGAGCTGTGATATCACAGCACTCTACCTAGTACCTAGAATGACAGCTTGAGGCTCTGTCTCAAAAAAAAAAGAAAAGCAGTCTTAGTACAACTTTTATAATTTGTATCATTCTCAGGAAACTATTAATGGACGTTTACCTTTATTGTTTTGTTTGTTGCCATTAAAACTGGTACCAGAATGAATATTCTTTTATTATTTATTTATTTGTTTTTTAGAAACAGGGTCTCTGTCAAGGTTGTAGTGCAGTGCAACCCAGCCTGAATATTCTTATAAATGTCTTTTTGAGCATATTTGTTAGTATTCCTGTAGGGTAAACGCTAGAAATGGAATAACAGGCTGTGATATATTTAGATTTTTTGTTTTGATAAATCCTATTTTGACTGCAAATAGTTATACACTGTTTTTTATCATCATTAAATGAGTGTCTGTCTTTCTGTATCCTCTGCAGTTCATGTCAGCATATGGACATTTTCATGGTGGTGATTTCTAATTTTGATTTGTATTTTCCTAGTTACTAGTGAGGTTGGATGTGTTTGCATATTGATTGCCTATTTTTGTGTATACTTTTTGGTGAATTGCTTCTTTATAGTATTTGTTCATTTTTCTCTTGAGTTGTCTAATTGATAGTTCTCTATTTTTTTAAATAAATTAACACAGAAAGTTTCTTTTTAAATATTGTAGGTCAGTATATAGTTTTCTTGTATATACATATGAAACTCTTACTATTTGCTTGTTCAAATTATATAAAATTGCTAATATTGAGCTATTTGAACCCAAAAAACTCCATATTGTTTGGTTCAATCTAGTATTACATTTCCCCCCAATTATTTGCATATCTATCTGTAAACTCTTATTTGTCACATAATCACTTTTGTTGATGTAATACTATGGCTTCCGTTCATTAAGCCTTATTTTAAAAAGTCATTGCCTTTCCTACTGATGGTATAAATGTTTAAAAATGTTTGTTTAGGAATTTATTTCATCTAAATTGATGTGCATAGAGATCTAATTTTTCTAAATTGTGGACAGTTGTCCCAACACCATACTATTAAATAAATAGGACTATTTAATAAATAGTATGTTCTTTTAAAACAATTTTAGAGGCCGGGCACACCTATAATCTTAGCACTCTGGAAGGCCAAGGCAGGTGGATTACTTCAGCTCAAGAGTTTGAGACCAGCCTGAGCAAGAGCAAAACCCTGTCTCTAAAAACCAGCCAGGGGTTGTAGTGGGGAGGCTGAACCAAGAGGATTGCTTGAGCTCAAGAGTTTAAGGTTTCTGTGAGCTATGACGCCACAGCCCTCTACCAAGGGTGACAGGTGAGACTCTGTCTCAAAAATAAATAAATAAAACAATTTTGGAATGTCACGAATAAACTTTGTTACTGTGGATATATTTTCATTCCCTCCCTCCCTTTCTCCCTTGCTTCCTTCCTTCCTTCCTTCTCTCATTCCCTCCCTCCCTTCCTCTTTTCTTCCCTCCTTACGGCCCTCTCTCCCTCCTTACTTCCTCCTAGGCTTAAGTGCAGTGTGTCATCATAGGACACTCAGACTCCTGGGCTCAAGCATCTTCCTGCTTCAACCTCGCAAGTAGCTGGGACTACAGGTGCATGCCACCCCACCTGGCTGATTTTTTAAATTTTTTGTAGAGACAAGTTCTCACTGTTGTCCAGACTGATTTCAAACCCCCGGGTGGGTTCAAGTGGTCCTCCCACCTCACCTCCTAAGGTGTTAGGTACAGGTGTGAGCCACTCTCCTTGGCCTATTTTTAATTTTATTACATTGCTCTGTTCATTTTTTTCTGTGGTAATGCTATTGTTTTAATTACTATTTTTTTATATTTTGATAACTGTTAGAGCAAGTCCCTTGTCACTGTTTTTTAAATTTGTCTTGCCTCTTATACTGTCTCCTTACAAATTATGTCCAAAATCATTCTTACCATGTTAATTTTTAATTTTAATAACTTACAGTCTGCGGAGCAGGGAGGAAGAGAGAATTTCTAAACCTGGGGCCGTCTCAACTCCCGTGAAGCCCACAGATGATCACACACCTAAAGCAGTGGAGGAAGTGACAGTTGAAAGAAATGAGAAACAAACGCCTGCCCTTCCAGGTGAGCCTGACGCAGTGGCGCGTTCAAAACAGTCCCGGTGAGCCTGAAGTGATTGTCACTTAGGAGAGTTACCCATGTGTCAGTTTTTCTGCGTGTGCCTTCCCAGCATTTTCCTGTGGTCAGGAGGTTGGCCTGGGTCAGTAGCCTTTCATGAAGGTGAATCTTTATTTTCTAGATAGAAAAAAAATTATGGTTAACGGCTCTTAGCGCTGGTAAGGTTGTTCTCCAACATCGTTCATTAAAGAAAAACATTAGTAATTGACATCAAAATTTAAAAAGTTACTTTATCTGTTGAAAGTGTTTTTATAAATCTCGACTGTATAAAGTACCTAGATCAGTGGTTCTCAAACTTCCTAATGCCATGGCCCTTTAATACAGTTCCTGTGTGTCGTGACCCACAGGTTGAGAACCGCTGCTCTAGATGACTAGCAGTGTGCAGGGTTCTGAGACGATTGCCTGAAAGGCCTGGAGATTTTGTTTCTGACATCTCTCAGCTCCTTTTCTCACATCTTCTGTCTTGCTCTGCCTGCTTCATGGCAGGAATATATAGATGTTTAAAAGCAAATTTTACCATAATAAGGAAAGGCAACTACTTTCAGTCTCAACAGAGAAAATGGATTCTCTTCTTATATCTTTTGTTATTCTGACTGAGAGAATAGATTTTTCAAGTGCTAAAAGCTGGAGCTGTGAACAGCATAGGTCAGGGGTCCTCAAACTTTTCAGGGGGCCAGTTCACTGTCCCTCAGACCGTTGGAGGGCCGGACTGCAGGCCCCAGGACGAGTCGGCTGCTAAGCAGGACAGGCAGCAGTGGCAAAAACACCCAGTGGGCTGGATAAATGTCCTAGGCAGGCTGCATGTGGCCTGCGGGCCGTAGTTTGAGGATACCTGGCATAGGTGGTTGTGTAACAAAAATACTTGTTATAAAGACTTTAGAATTTATAACTGTACTGTGTGCTCCAATCCATACGGTGCATACGCTCCTTGTCAGGATCTCTCATTTTTGCTGATGATTCATATATGTGTATTAAAAGTATTTTAATTATTTTGTTTATATAATTATTACCATGTTTTTATAAAGTGAGTCTTGCACAGTTTACATTTTTTTCTTCTAGAACCAAAGCCTGTGTATGCGCAAGTGGGGCAGCCAGATGTAGATCTACCTGTCAGCCCCTCTGACGGCGTCCTCCCTAATTCAACTCATGAAGATGGCATTCTTCGGTAATGTGATTTCAAAGTTATATAGTCTTTCTTGTCCATTAAGCTTATTTAGAGTGAGAATTTAATTATAGATTGTTTTGCATAAAAATCCCTTAAACCAATTAATACTATGGTTAGGTTGTTTCTTTTTGTATTAAGCAGTCTCTTATATGTGAGAGAAGATTAGAAGACAACAAAGAAACTTTTTGGGTGTTTTTTTTCTCACCACTGTCTTCTACCCAGCTTTTAGGTCAGGAATTACAAAAATAAAAAATTGGTTTCTATTCAGACATCATAATTTCCACAGCTTTCTCATGTCGTTGCATTTAAAAAAATCAGTGTTTCTCAACCTCAGCACTACTGACGTTTTGGGGCAGATAATTGTTCATCATGGGGGCCTGTCCTGAGCATTGTGGGACCAGTTGCTAATAGCACTCCCCTGCACGCTCAGTTGTGACCGACCACAAATATCTAGACATTATTAAGTGTTTCCTGTGGGCAAAATTATCAATGGTACTAGGCTCAAAAGTTAGTTTTTTATATCCTATACCTTTTATTACTTTATATTTACGCTTAGTAGAATTAAGATGCATATTCTATAAACATGTCAGATTCAAACTGTCAGGTTTTTGTCACCTCCATGGTAAAGGGATGGGTAAAAGGGGCATGATATAAATTACTGAAAATTGACAGAGTCCTCAAGTGGATTAGATATAGAACCTCCCACTCTCACTTTTTCTGCTTAAAAAAAATTGATTTGTTATTTTAAAACCCAGGTAGTCAAAGAGAAAAAGTTCTGAAGTAGGTTATGATTATGAAGTTTACATTTTTTTTTTTTTTTTTTTGGCACTTTTTGGTCAGGGCTGGGTTTGAACCCACCACCTCCGGCATATGGGGCCGGCGCCCTACTCCTTTGAGCCACAGGCGCCGCCCTATGAAGTTTAAAATTGTGCATTTTTAATGTTAGGTAATTGATAATTCAAACTTTTATAAATTTTAAAGGTATGGTTCCCTTCTTTTTCCTTTCTTGGGAATCTCTTGAAGCTTTTATAAGTCTTTAAGATTTAAGAAACGTTAATGATAAGATTCCAGAGATATTTCCTGGGAAAGCCCTGAAAATCAAATACTGAAGAGGATTTGAAGATGGTGGACTGGATGAGTAGCTGAGCCAGAAAAGGCTGCTTTTTCATTTAAATCCAGTGAGTGGATTTGAGGCAGAAATAGTCTGCTTTTTAACTTTTCAAAAGCCAGATTACATAACTATTGTTCTTTTTGAGTGGCATGAGATCGGTCAGAATTAGAAGAGGATTTCCAAGGACCTGAAGATTTTGAGGAAATGTTTTAGAGAACTTTGTATGCAGCTGGTTTAGGAACGGCGTCTGTGAGACTGCTTTTCACTTGGTTGGAAAAGCAGGGCACCCCTACAGCCAAGGGGCTTGGTCCACTGGTGATTAAGCTGGAGAGATCAGGGTGCACAGGGTGAACGACCTTATCTAACCTGCATACTCTTAATTTTTTGTGTAGCTAATATTAGTTCCAGGTCAGGAAGCTGGATCAAAAATGAATACATTATAAGAAATCTGTTCTCCCTCTCTCTATTTATTCATTCATTCATTCATTCAATTTGTATTTTTTATTATTTTCTATTAGCTTCTTATAATTTATTACTATTTAGTGATTTAATAACTCTACACCTTGTGTCAGAATAGGTAATAGGTGTGCCTTCTTGGCTAGGTATTGGGGGTCATTATGAAAACTTAGAAGAGAAATACAAAGAGTAATTTATAACTATGATCTGTTTTTACCCTATTCATCTAAGCCATCCTTTGGTATTTAAGAGTGTCTTAAGGTGGTGTGTGCATGGATTAATTTCTTTCCATTCTTTCTCTAACAAGAAAGAGGCAGAATTTGGATATGGGAGTAGTCTAGAAAGGCTGGAGGATTGTGGGCATCAGAGTAAGTGAACTATTGAAAGAGTCCACCATCTGCAGAGTTTAAAAATCACTGTCTATTGGATGCAGAGATCACAATACTAAGAGCCCGGTTTTGACTCCATGATACTAGGAAAATCAGCCAATTTATGCTTTAGTTTCTACCTTTATGAATAACAGGACTTTTCACTTATTCAATAGAGATGATACGCTGGGAGTTGGAGGTAGAAAAAATGGAAGACTTTTTAGCCACTGGGTAGCGACTGGGAATATAACACCCAGGACTCTGAGAGTTGAGAAACATTGTAATTTTATACATTAGTCACTTAAAGCAGTACTTAGATACTAAATTTAGATATTCCAAAATTTATTTTATTAATCAAAAGACAAAGTGTTACAAAACCTGATTTTGAATTCTAACACTAAATTTCATTCTGTAAATTAATGATGTGTGGGAAGTGTTCTGAAATGATGGTTCTTGATGTATTTCTGACTGTGGTTTTCATTGTAGCAGTTTGCTATAACTTTTTAAGCTTCTCTGTTTCAAATGAAATACCTATTTTAACAGGCCCAGCATGAAATTGGTAAAATTCAGAAAAGGAGATAGTGTGGGCTTGCGGCTGGCTGGAGGAAATGACGTTGGAATATTTGTAGCTGGTGTTCTAGAAGACAGCCCTGCAGCCAAAGAAGGCTTAGAGGAAGGCGATCAGATTCTCAGGGTATGTCAATGTTTCATCTTACATGAGTTTGAAAGTACTTGGACCTCAAGTAAAAGGGATCAAACCTAACAAACCTAGTGTTGTCAATTAGATTATAACCTGTATTCAATCTCTTGAACCAGTTAATCTTTCAGAGTAAGAATCCATGAGGTCTGTCCTATGCTGGACTTGTCACTTTCCTTTCCTGCATTAATAATGAATTATCCTTCACTGCTGTGTCCGAGTGTTACTATACTGCACACTGTTTCATTTTAGTCACTAGTGTTCCTTGCATCTGCAAGAATGTATCTTATATTCCTGTTGTGCTGGTATATCTCCTGGGGAATCTTTTAAAGTTAAACTGCACATCGGACTGGCAAGACTCTGCCAGTGGCCACACCACGTTAGCAGGCCGCATCAGGTGCTGGTCTTCTGTGGGATTCATCTTCACAGGTGTCCACACAACCTCTGGGACCTTCTTCACCCCAGATAATGGCACAGGCACAGGGAGATGGTTTCCCTCAGGGGCAGATATGTGAACTGTGCTAGCTTTGAATCCCCATAACTCACAGGAGACAGCATCCTGGAAAGTCAGGAAAGGCTGGTTTGGGTACAGCCTGTCGTAGAGGTCTTTGGGGTCTTGTTTCTCTTCTTTCCTTTTCTTTCTTTTTTTGCCATAAGTGGTGTTGCCTAGCAACAGTACTATCTTCATGTGTCCCTTACTTCTCTTTTTAAAATATCCAAACCTCCATTTGATTTCTGTTAGATAAACTGTATCCCATTTCAATCAGAAGATCAAATCTATTACTCTGTCTCCACCTCAAAGTGTCTTGGTCACCTGTCTTCTGGTTTCTGTGTCCATTCAGCCTACTTCTTTATTAATTAATTCTAAAGCAGTGATTCTCAACCTTCCTAATGCCATGACCCTTTAATACAGTTCAACAAAAATAATTTGATAGTTGGGGGTCACCACAACATGAGGAACTGTATTAAAGGGTTGCGGCATTAGGAAAGTTGAGAACCACTGCTCTAAAGCTTTAGAGATGTCAGTATCTCTCTGCTTCTCCCTTGTCAGTCTCCATCTTGGGTTTAGTTGCTCCAGTGAGCAACCCATAATAGAATCTCTCAGTCTGAGCAGTCTCCTGAGCCCCCTTAGACTGGCACCAAGGGCCATTTTCATCTGATCCTGCTCCTTTCCCTTCAGACTTAGCACATCACAAAGTTAAAGCCTTCTCTCTGACTGATTTCCACCTGACAGTATATATGATTCCTTCTGGTGGTGCTTACATTGTTCTTAATCCAATTACGTCAAAAAGTTTGAACACTGTATTGGATTATGTTCACTGTATCAAGGAAATAGACCTATTTTCTTACCCACCTCATCCCTTGTTTTGAAGTAATCAGGACATACATTTAAAAAATGTTTTTTAATAGTTCACTTTCATTTGGTATCATAAAAGTAAGTAGCATCTATTTGGTGGGTTTTTTTTTTGTTTGTTTGTTTGTTTTGCTTTTTAATTTGGAAGATTTCCAAAAGTTGAAAACAAGAAAGCTCACTTGTAATCCTGTAAGTCACTGGTGATGTCTTATTAAGTTTCATTTTGGCACTAAGGAGCTTCTGATAGGAATAGATACTAATTTGGCATACACTGAGCGTGTGTTACCCAGATGCAGTTACAAGGATGCTCTGTTGCATACTCTTTTTTTTAATCCCATTTCTTTAGATTTCTTCTGTCAGTGACTCATAAAAAGCAAGACTATACAGTGTATCCCAAAAGTCACACATGAAGATACTACACACAGGGAAAATGCGAAATTGTGCTACATGTACCTTTATTTACAAAAATATTCATAATAAAATTTTACAAATATTTACAAAATATTTTCTATATGTTGACCACCTCTTTCTAAAATATTATGACTATTTTGTAAATAAAGGTACACTTAGCTACAATTTCCCATTTTCCCTATGAATGGCAATTTCATGAGTAACTTTTGGGACACCCTGGATTATACATTCATAGAATTTATATTTTAAAATTTTAAAACCAGGGACTTTACAATAATAATAAATACTTGAAATTGGAAATTATCTTTTTTGGTCTAAATTGGTTAGATTTTACAATGGATGAATTTTAACATCAAGATAAACTGTGACTACTATTTAAATGAATTTACACCTTCAACTCACTTGACACTCTGTTTGTTTTAAATTAGAAGATGCTATTTTGTTCAAAGTAAAATAAATGTTTCCCTCTTAAGGATGTGACATTTTCAGATTAAGTGGACTCAGATTATTTGCGACCCGTCTATGTAAATATTTTTATATTCTTAAACAGTCAGGAGTGATTTCTGAAATCTCATTTTAATAGGTGAACAATGTAGATTTCACAAATATCATAAGAGAAGAAGCTGTCCTTTTCCTGCTTGACCTTCCCAAAGGCGAAGAAGTGACCATCCTGGCTCAGAAGAAGAAGGATGGTGAGTTGCTGTTAGAAAAAGAAAAGAAACTTGTGGAGTTGGAGGACGTACACAGAAATTGATTCAGTTTTTTAAAATAAATTACTGCAAGCTGAGTGATGAATGAATTGTTAACCTCAGAGAGAGTTGATTTTTTTACTTTAAGTTATTTAGGGGCACAGAATCTTGAAGTGACTCTTACTATCAGCACATGAATAGTACCAACCTCTGTGGCATTCTAATTTAAGCAAACTACCATTCAGTTCTTCGCATGTCAGAATTCTGTTTGATTACTAGTCATGAGAATCATACGAGAGTGTATGTAGGCAGCTTTGAAGTTTTGTACTGACATTTTCTAGGCAGATGTTTATTAGCATTAATTGGAGAGAAAACCTAATTTTCTGTGATGAAGCAGATAAATTTTTCATTTAAAATGAGGTTTCTCAGCTTCAGCACTGTTGACATTTAGCGTGAAATAATGCTGTGTTTGGGGGGCTGCCCTTCTCATTGTGGGGTGCTGAGGAACATTACCAGCCTGCACTCACTAGATGAGAGGCTGGTGACACAGACTCCAGTCCCCCTTTTCAGCGCATACAGTTACAATTAGAAATACTGACAAACGTCCCCTGAGAGGGCAAAGGATAAAATTGCCCTGTTTTGAGGACTACTGGTTTAAAATATGGAAATGTCCATAATGTTTGCAGATAAATTAAATGATATAAATAGAAACACGTGTGTAGCTTGGGACAAATCACTCGATCTGTTTCTGTATCAGTTTCTTCATCTATAAAAATACAAGTTCTCATTTCCTGAGGCAATGGTGATAAATAACGAGAGACAAAATACCTGATCCACTGTAAGAATTTAGCATTTGTTAGATACTATTAATATTATTGGCAACATCTTCATGTAATGTGTTCTCTTCAGATTAATTTCTTATCCCACTAAATACTGATAATGTGTGTTTTCATTCCTTTTAGTTTATCGTCGCATTGTAGAATCTGACGTAGGAGATTCTTTCTATATTAGGACCCATTTTGAATATGAAAAGGAATCTCCCTACGGACTTAGTTTTAACAAAGGAGAAGTGTTCCGTGTTGTGGATACCTTGTATAATGGAAAACTGGGCTCTTGGCTTGCTATTCGGATTGGCAAAAATCATAAGGAGGTAGAACGAGGCATCATCCCCAACAAGAACAGGTATGAGTGTGAGGATCCTTGTCCTCAAGTGACATAGAATGAGCTGAAAAAGAGGTGTGACACTTGTCATAGAACGAGCTAAGAGGTGTGACACTTGTCATAGAACGAGCTAAGAAAGAGGTGCGACACTTGTCATAGAACGAGCTAAGAAAGAGGTGCACACACTTGTCATAGAACGAGCTAAGAAAAGTGGACACACTTATCATAGAACGAGCTAAGTAGCTGATGTAGATACTTGTCATACAGTGGATTAAGTAAATGATAAGAGTTTCACTGGGAAACTGGTAATATAAAGAATTATTTTATATTCTTAATAATTCTCATTAATATCTATAACAAATTAGTTGCACAGATTCCTCTCTGTTGCAGCTATTAACTTCTATTCAGTATTGTGCTGTTTCATTTCATTGTGGGTCGTCTTGATTTTTTTTTTTTGTGGAATGCTCTTATTTTATTTATCTTTCTAGAGCTGAGCAGCTAGCCAGTGTACAGTACACACTTCCAAAGACAGCAGGGGGAGACCGGGCTGACTTCTGGAGATTCCGAGGTCTTCGCAGCTCCAAGAGAAATCTTCGAAAAAGCAGAGAGGATTTGTCAGCTCAGCCAGTTCAAACAAAGTTTCCAGCTTATGAAAGGGTAGTTCTTCGAGAAGGTAGTTTTATTTTTTACAGACTCACCTTATACCCTTTAATATCAGTATCTGAAGAAAGAAAAGGTATGAACTGTGCTGTGTTTTATTTGAATTTCTCTCCAGCTGGATTTCTGAGGCCTGTAACCATCTTTGGACCAATAGCTGATGTTGCCAGAGAAAAGTTGGCAAGAGAAGAACCAGACATTTACCAGATTGCAAGTAAGTAGCTTTGCGGGGGCTTCAGATGTGGTAGAAGGTGTTTCATTGGCAGTCATGCACACGTGTAAAAGGACAGGTCTTGTCCATTCACTGAATAAAAGTAAAACTTTGTTGTAAGTGAAAACTTTGTAGTTTATCTCATTCTTTTAATTTGGAAGGAAACTTGAGTGATCATGTCCTGGTTACACCAGTTCCCTTTAGTATGAAGAACTGCCACTTATGAAACTCTTAGCTTCACGAGAAAGCTGCGTACCACACAGTCTTGTTTAATCCTCACAGTAGGCCTGTGAGGTGGGAGTTGTGATGTCCACATTGGAAAGCGCAGCCTGAGCCTCAAGTGACTTGGTTGGCCAAGATTATCACCAACTGTTGTGACACTGAGCTAATAAGTGACAAAACTACGCTTTAACTGTAACGCTTTCTGGTTCTAATCCAGTGTTTTAATATTAAACTAACAAATATCCAAATATGTAAGAAGGGAAATAAAGCATGATTAATGCTATTGGTTATTATTGCAGTCATTTGTAGTAAGGTGGTATCAATATAAATATTGAGGCTACAGTACTTTCTATACCTAGTAATTTGGCTTACAGATCCTTTGTTTTATTAGTTTTGTGGTATTATGATAGTTTAAATCTATAAACTTAGTTATGACTTCTGGCTTGCTGTAAATTATCATATGTGTAAAAACTAAATTATGTTTGTCTAATTGTAAAACTATCATTGTCGGGTGGCGCCTGTGGTTTGGTGAGTAGGGTGCCGGCCCCATATACCAAGGGTGGCAGGTTCAAACCCACCCCGGCCAAACTGCAACACAAAATAGCCAGGCATTGTGGCAGGCACCTGTAGTCCCAGCTACTTGGGGAAGGCTAAGGCAAGAGAATTGCCTAAGCCCAAGAGCTGGAGGTTGCTGTGAGCTATGATGTGACAGCACTCTACCAAGGGTGACAAAGTGAGACTCTGTCTCTAAAATAAATAAATAGAGTTTTTAAAAAAACTATCACTGTCTATTTGGAAAAGGTAGAAAATTGATTCTGACATATATTATCATCACCCTAAGTTTGATCCTTCTGTTTTCTTCTGCCCTTGTAAGCATAGTTGGCAAGGTGTTATTTGTACTTTCAGGTTTTATTGGCGCCTGTAGTCCCAGATACTTGGGGGAGGCTGTTTATTTAGACTATTTAGGAAAGTTTATCTCTTGTTTTTGTTCTTGATAGGTAATGGCATATTTTCATTTTATTATAAGCCTTCAGTCAGTCGTGGTTTGATCAGTTTTTCTTTTGTCATATAGTTTATTTTAAATTTATTCTTTACTATTACAAGGATACAGAAATCTGTTCATGTTTTGCTTGTTTATGACCTGCCTTACTTCCCAAAGGGTTTGAATCCTTCAGAATACAGTTTTTTCCATATTTATGGGGTGGTTTTTTAGACAAATTCCCCTCAGTGGGAAGGAAGGGACCACAGGACATAAACATTTTCTGGCAGTTGATATGTATGATTGTTACTGATTTTCAGAGGGTTGTGCTGAGGGTTTTTGTTCCACTGGAACTGTATGAGACCCTTGTTGATGTTTTTAAACTACATAGTGCTAATTTAAAGAATCATAACATCACCCTTTGTTAAAATATTGCTTTTCATTTGGTTGCTGATGAACTTGAGTACAAATATTTATTTTTTGAAAATCAGAATATTTCTAGACAAATGATAGTAAAATTTGAGCAGATTAGAAATTGTTTATTTCTGGGGTGGCACCTGTGGCTCAAGGAGTAGGAGGCCAGCCCCATATACCAGAGGTGGTGGGTTCAAACCCAGCCCTGGACAAAAACTGCAAAAAAAAAAAAAAAAAAAAAAAAAAATATATATATATATATATACACACACACACACACACACATATATGTGTATATATATATATTTCTATTCCCCTTAATTTTTTCAGAAAAGATCTTTTTTGAGTCATTGTTTGTAGATAATATTTTACCTGAAAAAGTTAGTGGTAACCCTACCCATAACCAAATTCAGGGCTTTTAATTAAAGAAAAGCAAGTACGAAGACTGAGCAGCGATGTGCCTTAAAGGGTTTATTTCCTCCATAGCTGGGCTCTATAGTCAGGCCATTAAAATGGCAACTCAGGTAGTTTAGTTATGTGTCCATCTGAATCTAAGTAGAGTCTTTTGAGTTAAGGAATTAGTAGCATTTTCTCCAACCAAAACTCCCAGTTGGTCTTTCTCCTTAATTACCCTGTGTTCACCAGATTGGTAATTTTTCCCTGCTTGCCCTTGGAGCTTTGTCTTACAATAGTTTCATTCTCTAAACCCATTCTCCTGGTCCCTCAGTGTGGCTCACCTTTCCAGTGCTCTGCCCTTATCTGATCTAAAACACCAGAGCTCTTCCTTTCCTTGTAAACTTTCCTTCTGACCACAGTCACAAACATTGCTATGCCTTTTTGGTGAAGAACTTCATGTAAATTGGACTTCTGAGAGTTTTGGTTGGAAACAAGCCCAAGCTGCGTTGACCATATTCTATACCAGTGAAGAGGAAAAGGTTGCAGGGCGAAGCCATCAGCGGTCTCACAGTTGCACATTAGCGCCTTGCTCCTGGGTCCCCTTCTGTCCATGGGAACTCTGAGCCTAGAGCTCTCGCAGTTTGTGTGGCATTGTTGCTGACGACTTGCGGACTGCCTCAGCCAGCAGGGGCTGGGCAGGGCCGTGCACAGGCGTAAGTCTTAGTCTTAGCCTTACTCTTTCTCAGCGTGCCACACAGATCACAGCATTTCTTCCATGTGTCACCCAGGGTGAGATAGGGTGGCAGTGGGGCCATGCAGGCCAGGCCTGTGAATGCCACTCCAGAGCCTGGTTGGAGCCTGGAGGCAAAAAGAAAAATGTGTATGCCTAGCTCTATGTTTATGATGGCTCATTTTTTCCCAGAACATTTAAAGTAGTTGAGAAAATATTGAAAAGTATACTTATTAAAATTCACATTAGTTTAAGTGTAAATACTCAATACCACAGAATTTATTATCATTTTACTTTCCTGGCTTGATGAATACGTTTATCAATATTATTTTTTAAATCTTTATTTTATTTTCAGTTGAGAAAATTGCTATATTTGATAATTTCTCTTGACCAGGTGACAGTCTTAAATTTTACTCAAGTTCTGGTTGCAGATCAATTTTATTTAAAATTTTGATATGTTGTTTATAGATTTTTTTTTTTTTGGCATCAATTTGGTTTCTTTAAAAAAATACCACATTGGGCAGTGCCTGTGGCTCAAAGGAGTAGGGTGCCAGCTCCATATACCGGAAGTGGCAGGTTCAAACTCAACTGTGGCCAAAAACTGGGGGGGAAAAAAAACGCATCAAAATATTACCTGTTTCAATTACTGAAGTTTTGCTGCAGCCCCTTAATTTCACACCCAGAGCTGTCTTGCCTTCTAATCCTGGCTAAAAGCATTAATAGCGTTTTTTGGGGAAGGGGGGGTGCTACTGACCTCTAGTGGGTAAAGTTTAAAAATGTTGCTGTAAACTGGCCACAGCACAGCTCCTACAAGTATTGTCCAGCCCATTATGTCAGTGGTAACCAGTAGTTGAGACGCTGTGATCTAACCAATGATAACTTGATATTTTATTTTTGTCCTAACTTGATAAATAGAAAGTGAACCACGAGATGCTGGAACTGACCAACGTAGCTCTGGCATTATTCGTCTTCATACAATAAAGCAAATTATAGATCAAGTAAGTTATTAAATGTTGACCTACTTTGTTATAAGCTGTTATTATTGTGTTTTTGAGTGAGGTGGGATGTGGTTAACTCGAAAGTAGAAGGTAGTTTCTCTGAGATTATTACTGATAGAGCATAAGAAAATTAAGCCCTTAACGAAAGGTGTTTTAGTCACTTTCAAGGGAATAGTTACTACAGGCATCCAAAGATTTTTCATTGCCACAAAAAAGTATATTGTGTTCAGATGTAATTAACAGACCATTGATAAATATTAAGTACAATTGAGCTTGCACTTTGACATTTATATGCATAGGAAATATAGCAGGAACATTAAGTTATTATATTTTCACTTCTAGCTGAACACAGATAATTCTGTCAGCTTGCTTGCAAATATTGGAGCTAAAGTCTAAAGTGAGCAAGTTAAAAACTTTTTAGATATTGAGTTAGACATTGTATCGAATTAACTTCTGATTACAATTTTATAACATGTGTCCCAACACATCTGAACACAATTAAAGGTCTTCTACCATTGAAATGTAGTATAGACTTTGACTTTTTCTGAAAGTGATGATTCTTAATGATTTCTCCTATCTTTATATATGTTTTTATGTCTCCAGGACAAACATGCTTTATTAGATGTAACACCAAATGCAGTCGATCGTCTTAATTATGCCCAGTGGTATCCAATTGTTGTATTCCTTAACCCTGATTCTAAGCAAGGTGTGAAAACGATGAGAATGAGATTATGTCCAGAGTCTCGGAAAAGTGCCAGGAAATTATATGAGCGATCTCATAAACTTCGTAAAAATAACCACCATCTTTTCACAAGTGAGTATTTGAAGGCTTTCTTTCAGCTTCAGATGTCTGGGTAACAATATGTAGGCAAAAATGTGCTGGTCAAATACTAAAACTTACGTGACCTTTACTTGGGACGCGTCCCGTTGTGTTAACAGCTACTGTCCAGTTAAAAGACAATGTGCAGTGCCAAAATAGAAGTCCCACGGGCTTGCGTGTTTAAATACCATCTTTTCAGTATGAGGATTGAGCTCTAAGCAGACTTGAGTGAATTATTCTCTGCTTTTGGTGGTATTCTAACTGTAAAACTGTATTGTCAATTTTTCAGCTACCATTAACTTAAATTCAATGAATGACGGTTGGTACGGTGCACTGAAAGAGGCAATTCAGCAGCAGCAGAACCAGCTGGTCTGGGTTTCTGAGGGCAAGGTAAGGCATTGTCTATGACTTCTCTGACATCTTCATTAAATTGTACAACTGAACAGATGCCTTTGAGTTACTGTTTTCTTATTTGATCAATTTATCAGAGTAATTTGGGGGAGTCAGCTGTTGGGGTTATGAAAGTTGTTTCAGCTCTTTGCTCTGCTCACGTATTATCACTCCAGTAGAATTTTCTCTTAAAGAATTCTCAAATTATAGTGAAAAGCAGATTGCGTTCTAACTGTGCCTCTATTTGGCTGTGGAATGAGGACTTTGAACCTGGCTTCAGTTTACTTCTCTGAAAATTAGGGGATTTGGGTGGCCTAGATGAGTGTCTCCCAGACTGCCGTCCTCCACACACTCAAGACAAGACTTGCTGTGAGAGAAAAGCCGCTCTGAAGGCGAGCAGTGGTAGGGGCTCTGCAGACCCTCATCCCTGGAGGAGGATCACGTGCATTGACAGGCTCTAAGAAGTCTGAAGAGTCGAAAAATTTACTTCATTTAGCATTTCCTCACATTCTACCTAGAGAATTCGTTATTTAGTCAGCTCCTGTTAACATTCTTGTAGCAGCTTGCTGGGAAATACTGAACAAAGCAATAGATCCTTTATGGCTTAGAATTTTGATTTTATGTACTTCTAAATGGCCAGTTTTAAAAGAACTGCTTTTTGTTGTCAGTCTTTCTCGTTTTATAGCAATCTTTGATGAGAAAAGTCTGTTTATTTTGTTTGCAGAGTTAATTGTTTTTCTCAAAGTACACCATTGAAGTGATCTGTGTATTTAATGTTTTTTACCTTCAGATGACTGAAATATTTATAAGCTTTAGTTGTTCAGGAAGATTGAGAATGTCTCGTTTTTTATTTGTTTTGTGTTTCCTCGTGGGTTTGATTTTCATTGTGTTTTGCCCCTGCACGTGGCCACCCCATCCCCCACCCCCTGCGCCTGGCTGTGGCTACAGATGCTCTGGCAGTGCACGCTGCATGCTTAAGACCACTGTGCCCCTCCTCACCCAGAAACAGCCTCTGCAAGAGGAGATGCTAAATGTCTACATCTAGAGGTAGTGTCTGCCGTTCTCACCTGTACTGATGCGTCAGAACCATGGTATTTCTCATTATGTACCAGTTTGGGGGTGGACCGTGCATATGAGATCATAAGGCCATTCTGAATAATTGACATGTCAGCAGAGACACTAGTAGGAAAACCAATGTGGAAAAAAACATTACACCAGTTAACAGCAACACACAGTATTACTCATGTTTACTTGTGGCACTTGAGAAAAGGGACTGGAATCTTTCTTGTACTTAACCTTCTATAACAGCACAGCTCCGTTGACCACTTTTGTAGGTAGAATGTTAATAGCTTACACTAGTGAATTCTTAAATTAGTCTACTAATGTCTCCAAATTCACAAAGTATGCATGCCTACCTACCTGACAGGGTTTTTTAAATGCATAAATCTTAATTTTCTATAATTTCTCTATGTGAGATTATTGTTCCTCCATTTGCTTGATTTTTTTTGGTTTGTTTGTTCGTTTTGGCGGTTTTTGCCTGGGGCTGGGTTTCAACCCACCACCTCTGGCATATGAGGCTGGCACACTACTCCTTTGAGCCACAGGTGCCACCCCCCTTTGCTTGATTTTAAAATAAAGGTCTAAATTCCTTAACTTCTTATGTAAGGAAAAGTAGGTCATTTATTAGACTGGATTGATATATTTTGTAAATCAGAAGAAGTTGTTACAACTTAAATCAAGCTTATCTTCCTGGCCCCTTTCATTCAAGTGTATCTTATCAGAATAGCTGACTGTTAAAACCACTTTATTTTTCATAGACTTTCCTGAGCTAACTACTTTGACTTTATTGCTAGGAGTGGTTTTATTGGTTTTTTTTTTTTTTTTTTACGAGATCTGACACAGTATTCTGTGGTCCCCGCTAAACCCAGAAAAGTCATCCTGCAGCTTTCTTAACTGTAGATGTACCATTTCCTGCTTCAGAGCAGCCATGGTTCTTGCTCACTTCTGCATTTCAGATCATCTACGAAAGCTAGATGAATTAGGGAGTCCCAAGGCATTCTTCCCCAGGCTTTAAATATTTCCCTGGATGGCTACTGGATTATAGTCTTCCAGAATCTTCTTGGAAAGTTAAAGCAGATAGCAAGACAGCTTATCTCCTGTAGCAGTCATTGTAGAGTTCAGAAGCCACTGAGACTAGTGAGAGAGAGACTAGTGAGAAACTGCTTTCACAGAGCAGAACCCTGGGATTCTCATTCTTCCCAGCCTAGCAGGTGCTCTACTAAGTACCAGAGCACAGGGAGGCCTGACACCCTACTCTTTCTTATCAGAAAGGCAGTACTCAGAGTCAGACTCTTGCAGAGCCATGCACGGGACTGCGTGGAAAGCTCCATTTGGGCAGCTTAACTCCTGCAACCACGCTGCTGGTGCAGCAGCCCTACAGAGCCACACCAAGCCTGCTTGGTAACAGCAGTGCATCTTCCTGGGAAACAGAAGCCCTTTGTTCATCCTTTCGTGCATGCTGAAGTGGAAGAGATGTTTTCTGGATTCCAGATCCTTTGGTTTTCCTTCCTAATTGGGCACAGTGTCTAGTGTGATCTTCAGGTATTAGTTTCAAACTAGGATCCAGTGACAACTTGTTGATTGCAACTGAGTAGCCATTTTTCCTTCAAATACGTCTCACTTTCTTCCTGATCAACTCTATGATCAGCATAGACTGTTAGAAACTAACTGAGCTCTTACTTGTGCTGAAAAAGTATAACTGCGTTTTCCCTCTCCATCCATTGGATCCTGCGTCTGTGAAACATAATAAAGAAAAAATTTCTTCTTAATTTAATGGAGCAACCACCACATAGTGATGATTTTCCATTGTTTCATAATAGCTTAAAGGGCCAGATAACTAACTTTTTAGAAAGTTGTTTTCTAAGTCTGAATATATTAGCTCTTATTCTGCTTGAACTGTGGAGTCATAATTATTCTCACGTGCGGTGTTCTGTCAGTGTGTCCTTGTTTCTGTGAGCTTGAGTTGGTAACATTCTCCCTCTTAACTTTGCTTTGGGCTGAAAACCTGAGTAGGGCCAAGTTTACGTCTTCATTGTCTTCTGGGGCTAGGCCCTAGAGTCCAGCTTTGTCCTGGCTGCCCAGCCCTGTTTCATCATCCATGCCCTTCAGATCTCAAGGGATGCTTTGTGTGTCTGCATGTGTGCTTGTAAAATCTTCTTGACCTTTCCTCGCCAAAAGTTTCAAAAAATAGATGTGATTTTTCCAAAGAAAAATATTCTTTTCAAACTCCCTTATAAAATAAAGGCCATCTCTTAAAGGACTGCTGAATAAAATTTTTAATTTACTTTTATTTGACCCAGGCGGATGGTGCTACAAGTGATGACCTTGATTTGCATGACGATCGTCTGTCCTACCTGTCAGCCCCAGGTAGTGAATACTCAATGTATAGCACGGACAGTAGACACACTTCTGACTATGAAGACACAGATACAGAAGGCGGGGCCTACACTGATCAAGAACTAGATGAAACTCTTAATGATGAGGTTGGGACTCCCCCGGAGTCTGCCATTACAAGGTCCTCTGAGCCTGTAAGAGAGGACTCCTCTGGAATGCATCATGAAAACCAAACATATCCTCCTTACTCACCACAAGCGCAGCCACAGCCAGTTCATAGAATAGACTCCCCTGGATTTAAGACAGCCTCTCAACAGGTAAGCAGCAAGCATTCAACGTTTTGTAGTTAGAGATGCATTATTAAATTTTAGAACATGGTGACTGAGTTTATTTTGTCCTCTCTCCAGATTAAGAATTAATCTTTAATTTTAATTTGTGAGTACCAAGGACTTAATTCTAAATTTTGTGTGTTTGTCTTACACAATGATATACTGTATTTATTTTAAAAATTAGGACACGAGGTCATAGTTTTGTCATTCAGCACATTAAAATGTATGTCTGCCAATCACTATTAATTGAAGTGGGAAGTTAGCAGTAAACAGAAACACTATATTTAAAATATTTTAAACACTTCACAGAAAGCAGAAGCCTCATCTCCAGTCCCTTACCTTTCGCCTGAAACACACCCAGCGTCATCAGCCCCTGCTGTTAACCATAATGTCAGTTTGAGTAAGGTCAGACTGGAGGAGCCCACTCCGGCTCCTTCCGCCTCTCACTCACCACAAACTGACTCTTTAAGAGCACCACGTGCTGAGGCAGCTCACATAATGCTAAGGGACCAAGTGCCGTCATTGCCGCCGCATGCAGAGCCAGCAAAGGTACCCGTGCCACAGTGCCACTCGTCTGTCGCTCTCCATCAATCTAGCAGTGACCGTTTTGCTGTGCCCTTTGAGTGTTTCTTTTGCTTTTTTTTTTTTTACTGTGGTCTTACACACCCTAGTGCTCTCAAATCAATACAAATCATTTCACTGTTGCAGTTTGCATGGCTTCCAGTGGTATACTGATTGAGAACAGGCCTTTGAATTGAGATTTGTGCTTAATATTTTTGTTTTATTTTTATTTTTGGTTTTCTGTACTTTCCAGAATTTCTTAATGTGTATTTGGGGACCTATCATAAACCTTATTTATGTTCATATGAATTACGGTGTTCATAGATTTTCTTTAGGATTTTTATTTTCAGTGTCAGAATCAAATAGAATCAATAGTTTAGCATATTAATTTCTACTAAATTCAATAATTATCTTTAACTCTCTATTCATTTAGTACATGCTGAAATACAAAAGCACTTTTCTGCATTATAAAATTTGAGCTTTCATTTACTCTAGCTTTTTCTACTAATCGTGTCTATCCTGGTAATAAGTGGTGAAACATACCATTTTTACATGTTAAATCATAGTGTAATAAAGTAGACTAGAATTAAAATCAAGTCTTTGTCCTTAAATGTGAATTTTTTATACAGGCATATAGAAAGGATCCATATCCTGAAGAAATGATGAGACAGAATCATGTTTTGAAACAGCCACCTGTTGGTCACCCAGGGCAGAGGCCAGACAGAGACCCTAATCTGACCTATGAACCCCAAATCCCATATGTAGAGAAACAAGCCAGCAGAGACTTTGAGCAGCCCTCATACAGATACGACTCCTCGAGCTACCCAGACCAGTTTGCTCGAAACTACGAGCATCATGTGCGCTATGAGGATCGCGTCCCTGCGTATGAGGAACAGTGGTCATACTGTGATGACAGACAGTCATCCTACCCGCCTCGGCCTTCTTTTGATAATCAACACCCTCGAGACCTCGACTCCAGACAGCATCCTGAAGAGTCCTCAGAACAAGGGTATTTCCCACGCTTTGAAGAGCCAACCTATGACGGTAGACCACGTTACGAACAGCCACCTAGAACTTCCGCAGGACGCCATGACGAGCAGCCGACTCCTGGATATGATGTGCACAGCAGATACAGAGCAGAAGCACAGCCCTACCCCTCAGCAGGTCCTAAGTCATCTGAACCCAAGCAGTATTTTGAGCCGTATCCACGGAGCTATGAGCAAGTCCCATCGCCAGGGTTTGCCCCTAAAGCAGGCCACTATGACTCTCACCACAGTGCTGTGGTTCCTCCTCTGGTACCTTCATCTCAACATAAGCCAGAAACTCTGCCTTCAAACACCAAGCCGCTGCCTCCACCCCCATCTCTGACTGAAGACGAGGAAGACCCCGCGATGAAGCCACAGTCTGTGCTCACCAGAGTTAAAATGTTTGAAAACAAAAGGTCTGCATCACTGGAGACCAAGAAGGATGTGAACGACACTGCCAGTTTTAAGGTAAAAGGTCTCTACTACTTGGGATGTGTGTGTAGACACACTAAGCGCAGAGCAGTTCACACTGCTGCTTAGCTTTCCCCTCCCCACCCCATAAATGAAGTCTGTTTTGTAATTATCTGTTCCTTGGGTTTCTTTCTCTTATTTTTCTGCAGCCTCCAGAAGTAACATCTAAACCACCAAGTGTTCCCATCATTGGTTCCAAACCCACTCCTCAGAATCAATTCAGTGAGCATGACAAAACTCTGTACAGGTTAGTACACTGGGGATCTGACCCTCTTAGTCAATGAGAAAGCCTTTTACTATATTAGTAGAAGAGAGGTATGAAATAGGGAGAAGACGCTAGTCCATCCTTTAATAAAAATTACCAGCTCTCTTAATTAAAACAGTGGTCTTAGGAAAAAAATTGAGCTTTATTATAACTTCTGTAACCAATCTTTGGACTGGGCATGTGGCTCATGCCTGTAATCCCAGCACTCTGGGAGGCTGAGGCAGATGGATTGCTTAAATCTAGGACTTCCAGACCAGCCTAAGCAAGAGTAAGACACCCCCACCCCACCCCTGGTCTCTATTAAAATAGAAAAGCTAGCCAACTGTTGTGGCAGGTGCCTGTAGTCCCAGCTACTCAGAGGGCAAGGCGAGAGCATCCCTTTAGCCTAGGAGTTTGAGGTTACTGTGAGCTATGTCACCATGGCAATCTACCCAGAGTGTCAGAGGAAGACTCTGTCTCAAAAAAAAAGAAGGAAAAGAAAAAAAATCTTTGCTGTACTTAAACCAATAAACAAAGCTTTTGAAAAGATATTTTTATAGCAAATGGTTAAAATTTTTAAAGCTCTGACATTTATATTATGTTTTTTTAGATTAAAAATTGCTTTTAGTCATGTGAACTCTTCGTTCTTAGGGACGAGGAAACAGACCCAGATTGGTTAAAATAGCTAAAATTAATCATTTAGTGAGTACACACAAGGTGCTCGCCATTGTTCTGAGCATATCTGCACAGAGAGTCTGCTGTTTTCTACATTTTAAAAAGGCACTCAGCTCAGAGTAAGCAGCTTACAGAACTTAGAGCTTGGGGAGAGACTGGCCAGCTGTGTCAGTCTGTGGTCTCACCCAGGGCCTCATCTCACTGCTGATAAGTGACACACAGACTGTATTTGAATACAGTTGTTCTGCCTAACCAGTGCTTTATTTGCTGAATATAGATTGCAGTTGTGATAAAGAGGAGAACTGCTGTTCAGTAATCAATGCTTAATGACCTCCTTTCTTCCTCATCTGCTTTCTGTGCCTTCTAGAACTTGGTACTGTATAAAGTCTGTCACTTACTGTTGCTGGCATCGCTGTAGATGTACTTTGAGAAGTTTTATCTTGGTTACATTCCCCTTTCTCTTTCTCATGAACTAACTTTCTGTGAGGCCCCTAACCAGATAGGCATTGAGCTTACTAAACTGTGCTAAAAAAATCCCATCAGTTAGAAGGGGGTTAGAGGACGCAGGACCATTTTGCTGTGATGTCACTGCACTCTACCGAGGGTGGCAAAGTGAGACTCTTGTCTCTTAAAAAAAACGTTGTTCCATTTGCCATTCATTATCTGTCAGAATCCCAGAACCTCAGAAACCTCAGCCGAAGCCACCTGAAGACATTGTCCGATCAAATCATTATGACCCTGAGGAGGATGAAGAGTACTACCGAAAACAGCTCTCGTACTTTGACCGGAGAAGCTTCGAGAGCAAGCCTCCTGCACACATTCCTGCCAGCCACGTCCCAGAGCCTGCCAGACCAGCTCATTCTCAGAGTCAATCAAATTTTCCTAGTTACTCTTCAAAGTAAGTTATTTCACCTTTTAAAACTAAGATGCAGCATAGATTGGATTGCACAAGTGGAGCTAGTCACATGAAGCTCAATGTTGAGGGAAAGAGTTAGGTTAGTACGTGATTTCTGTAAGCTCCAGTGCTTTAGCACTGTACATACGTTTTAGTTCTAGAATCTGTTTGTTTTTTGTTCTTAACTCTGATATCAGATGCATAAAGGTATTGTATTTGAAGAGATATGAAAATCAAAAGTGTTTTTGACAAAAGAATATAAATTAAAGACCTTGATTTTCAGGTGGACCATCAGAGTCACTCTACTTCTGTGCCCGTACTTCAGGATGGTTCTTTTCTTTCTTTTCTGCTTTTATTTTAATATAAAAGCAGATTAAGGAGGACACTGAGGGAAATACTAAATAGGTTTTTTTTAAGGAAATAAAGAACTTATGTATTATTGAAGCTTAAGGGGACTTTAGAGATTTCTGGTACAGTTTTATATATAAGGAAACTAAGGTTGGGTGAGGTAAAATGTCAGGGCAGAGCTGGACTGAACCCCAAGTTTCTTAACTCCCAGTCATCTTTTCCCTGATCTTTGCCGCTCCCTTCTGTTTAGACGCCTCCTGGGTTCTGTGTTGGCTCTCTCTTGTTCTGCCTGCATGGGTTTATGACTCCTGCTGGTTCTGTTTCTGTGGCTGGACCCTGACTGAGAGAATTTGGTACTGATAGTTCATCATAAACCCAGATAGATACAGGTTAGGTTTATACCTCATCAGAAAAAAAAACTCCACAAGAACAAAAACAAATGGGGATTTGTCAAAAGGAATTAATCTACACAATCGTGGGGGCTGCCTAAGGAAGTCGTAAGTTAGAGGGCAGGTGGTCAGGAAGGGTCCGGTGCTGTCGGAGAGACCCTGAGCCCTGGGAAGGCCTCAGTTCTCTTTCATGGGCAGGGCTAAGTTACTGTATTTTATCTGTTGTTAATTTCCTTAGCTAAATGAGAGTCAGTGATATGTTCTTTTATAGACTAGATATGCTCAAGTGGTGGATGTTTTTTTAAAATGACATTTGAGTTCCATTTGCTGCAAATTTACGTAGTTAGATTGACCGTTTTCTTTCATTTTTTTATTGCACTTGCTTTGCCCTCACCTAGATATCTTGGCTCTTACACTAGCTATGACTACTTGAAAAGGAACGTCAAGTGGTAAGACTGGCATTATTGTGAGGCTGTTACATAAGGTGTCCCTCACTGTGGCACTGGCATTATGTGCACTTTCAGGTTTTAATGTCATCTTTAAATGCTTAATCTAAGTGCATTAAAGCAAAATAATCATCAGACTGGACTTCTTCAAGAATAGTCACCTATGAAAATGAGCGTGCCTTGTTAACGTGTACGTCATTGTTTGTGCACATAAAGCCAGTGTGGATTTGGCTCTGCAGTAAGGTTTAGATGGCAGTGTTGCAATTATGGGTCTATTTGAAAGATTCTTTTGTGTGAATTTTATGTGTTACATATTAACAATCGGCAATCTGAAAAAATAAGCATATGTGGCACAATTTGACTTAAATGAGCCTTGTAAAATGAAGCAGTTTCTGCTACTCTAGCAGTCATTAAACAAAATAAAAATGGATCTGGTAAATCAAGGGCAAGTTTTAAAGTAAAAGAAGTCAAGTTTTCTTAGTTTTACTGGAACACAGCTATGACCATTTGTTTATTTTCTGTGGTTGCTTTGGGGCTATACCAGCATAGTTTGAATAATTATGACAAAGACTTGTGGCCCAAAAAGCTGAAAACATTTACTGTCTGGCCCTTCTATGAAAACATTTGATAACTCCTGATCTGTGACATCATATTTTATGGTGCTCAAGTACAACAGATGCCAAGGCTTCGTACCTTAGATACAAAATCAGAAGTGGGTCTAAGGAAGATTTGTGCCTAAATACTTTTCCAAAACATTTGCAAGATTTTCTTAAATCTTCCAGCTATTACTTATTTTGTATAAAAAAACACAATCAAATATGAAAAGTATACCCAAAATTTCATCTGCCTTTTGGTTGCCATCTTTTGGATGTTTTACTAATATTCTTAGTATTTGTGCTGTCTGGATATTTCTTGTGCTGATGACTGATTGGGTTTGTTTGTATATTCTGGTAAAGTAGCTCTGTATACTCACGAACATGTGAAATTTCTAGATGTTTTCTGTTTTGAAATTTAGAGGCACATAGAAGAATGAGAACTTGTGTTGTGCATGCGCGTCCATTTTTCACATGTTGGCAACTTCTTCATTTCTTACCAGGGGAAAGCCGCCTGAAGCTGATGCGGCCGACAGGCGCTACGACCCAGTCCAGGCCACTCCCCCGCCCCCTCCACTGCCCTCACAGTACACCCAGCCGCCTCAGCTGTCAGCTGTCAGCAGCTCCTCCCTCCACGCGCATTCCAAGGGAGCACATAGTGAAGGTAGGAGGTTAGAACTTGACATTATTACTGTAATACAGTAAGAATTATGAAGCTAAATTCATACAGTTTCTAAGCAAAATGGATTTTACTTTATAAAAGAGTATGCGCTTGAAACTTTCAAAAGTTTCTTTCTTAGCAAAAACTAAGAATTTTGTTAAAAATACATTTCCTGGGCAGCACCTGTGGCTCAAAGGAGTAGGGCACGGGCCCCATATACTGGAGGTGGCGGGTTCAAACCCAGCCAGGCCCAAAACTGCAAAATAAAATAAAATTTCCTGGCTGGGTACGGTGGTTCATACCTGTAAGCCTAAGCACTCTGGGAGTCGGAGGTGGGTGGATCACTTGAGCTCAGAAGTTCAAGACCAGCCTGAGCAAGAGTGAGACCCCATCTCTACTAAAAATAAATAATTAGCTAGACATTGTGGTTGGAGCTACTCGGGAAGCTGAGACAGGAGGATCACTGGAACCCAGGAGTTTCAGGTTGCTGTGACTGAGGCTGACCCTTGGTGCTCTAGTCTGGGGCAACAGAGTGAGACTCTGCCTCAAAACAAAACAAAATGAATCACCCAAAAGTACATTTCCTGTTTTTATGACCAAGACCATTATATTTACAAGCTCTTAGCTAAGTAGATTTTAATCTGTTTCATTAACATAGATCAATTTTATACCAATCTCTAAATCTTCTGGAAGTGGTATTTGCTTACCAATATTTCTAAATTTAAATATTTGAATGACGGTTTATAAAAATGACTATTTCATCTTCACACATGGGCATCAGAAAGCCATAAAGTTTCACATAAAATGTGTCCTGGAACATCTTGCCATTTGTATTTACATTCCTTGGTAACATCTCAGCAAGGTAGGTAACACATAGCTCTACTTATACTTGATTCATTTTAATAGAATATTTTACCATGAGAATATACCCCAGTTTATCCATTCTCCTGCTGACAGACATTTCCCAGTACAAACACAGTCCTAACTTACCCAGGAGTCAGATTTGAGGGTATATAAATCTTCAACCAGACCTATAGTTCGGATTGACTTGTATTAAGATTGTTTTCACAGTCATGTCTCTAGGCAAAGACAGTTTTAATTCTTACTTTCCACTCTTTTTTTTTTTAATTAAATAGTAACTGTGTACACTGATGCATTTATAGGGTACAGTGTACCAATTTGATATACAATGTGAAATGCTTACATTGAACATCCATCACCTCGCTTTACTTATTTGTTGTGATAAGATTCTGTGATGTGGGGTGATCTTACTGGAGTTAGATTATATCTCAGAGTGGTTTTGATTTACATTTCTCTGATGATTAAGGATGATGAGCGTTTTTTCATGTGTTCATAGGCCATGAGCCTGTCTTTATCAGAGAAGTTTCTGTTCAAGTCTCTTACACACATAGAAATGGGGTTATCTGTTCTTTTCTTGTTGATTAGTTTGAGTTCTCTGTGGATTCTAGTTTTCAGACCTTTGTCCAAAGCATAACCTGCAGAAATCTTCTCCCATTCTGAAGGTTGTCTGTTTGCTTTACTTACTGTGCTCTTGGCTATGCAGAGGCTTTTTGCTGGGATCAGATCCCAGTAATGTATTTTTTTGGTGTCGCTTCAATTGCCTGAGGGGATCCTTCTCATAAAATATATTCTCCCAGGCCAATTTCCTCACACTCTCTTCTAATATTTTTATAGTTTCATGTCTACACTTAAG